AAAAAGAAAAGATAGATTAAAAAAGATTTAAAAAAGAGAAAAAAATATAAACAAAATTTAAAAAGAAAAAGAGTAAAGGGTGTTTGCTGCCTTGAGAGCTGGTCTGATAATCAGTGTCCTTGGTCTCTTGATGACTTAGAACTCTGTCAGACAGGAGGGGGCAAAAACAGTGCCGTGGAAAGCAGTCAAGCACCACTAAAAACTGCTTTTTAACAGAGAAAGAGACAAGAAAAGCACAGAGATAACAGAGACACCACTGCCTTGCCATGTCTTCCCTACCTCTCCTCTTCACCCTCCAGCAATTTCCGGTATGCATTGATCTCCATGTCAAGTGCCAGTTTAACATCCAGGAGCTGCTCGTAGTCAGCCAGGTGCTCCTGCATCTGATTTCTTATCTCTGCAATTTCCTTCTCCTTCTCTGCCAGTGTTCTGCGGCAGTTCTCCTGCTCCTGGGCCAAGGTGCTCTCCAGCTCCTGTGCTCTGTCCTGCCACGCTCTGGACTAGAGGAAAAGCATTGAAAACATCAGCGGTGGTGCAGAGAAAGCCCAGCCAAGCCTCCACGTGCTGCTCCTCTGCTGTTCAGGCAGCACCAAATTCAAAATACAGAAGTTACACCCTCCCATGAGTTCAAACTCACCCATGTGTTCAACTCCCTCCTTTCCAACTCACCTACTACAAATGGAAACACATAAAATTCCAGTGAAATTTGCAACATCTTTGGGGAAACAATGACTTCGCTCTGTTTCTCTGAGGTCTGAAAATATGCTACAGCACTTGAATTTACTCAGGAAAGAAAAGCCGAGCTTAAGAGTTTAAGTTTAACACATTCCAGACAGGACACAGGAACACAGTCCTGAGCTGCACCAGGGGAGGTTTAGTCTGGAGGTTAGGACAAATTTCTTCACCAAAAGGGTGGTTAGATATTGGAGTGGGCTGCCCGGGGAGGCAGGAACCACCACTCCTGGAGGTGTTTCAGCACTCTGTGTTTTCCAGGTGTCTGCTTTGTGCTTTGGCTTGGTGCTGCTAATCCTCAAGGAATAGGGGTTGTTGTCAGTGCAAACCTGCCTGCCTATCCCCAAAGCCTCCAAGGCTTGCTCAGAGTGTGGTGATAAGCACTCCTTGAAGAAATCTGTTTTGTCTCCTGCTTCAAAAACTCCATCAGGTCAGCAGATCTTAAAAGTGCACACCCAGAATGGAATGCTTATCAAAAGAAAGCCCAAAATGCAGCTTTAGGGTTTCCATAAGCATGCTTTCTTCTGTTTCACAGCCCCTTGAGATTCAATTTTTTTTTTTTTTTTAATTAAGGAGCAGACAGATGAACCGATGCCCCATAATCACAGAGTTTGTTATGCATGCATCCAAATTTAGGAAGTCACCACATATTCCAGAGACAGAGAAGAGGAGAGGGAGTCTCCATGTCTGACACAAGGGACCAGTATAACTGGTTGTCAATGCTAAGAGCCAGATAAGGAATTTAGTAAATGGAGTTTTGTGTCACATGGAAGATCACAGCGGAGTCTACTACAGAGCTCAGTGCTGGCAACTCAAACCAGACCAGCACCAGGGATAAGAGATTTCCAAGAAAATTAAGCTTAACTTAATGCTACTGAAGTGGAAAACAAAAGTGTCCTGGCTGACTTCATTAATGCTACCATAAAAAAAACGACCCCAAAACCACAGCAAAATGGTTTATTTGGTGGAAAAATCATGGTCAAAATGACAGAAGTTGAATGCCCTGAAATTAGCAACAAACACTTCTGCCAGTTCAGAAGCAAGTCCTCTGAACAAAGCTGTCACTCCTGGAGTCACAGAACAGAGGCAATTAACTTAACAAACCTCTTGACTGAACCACCAAAAGATGATGGTAATCTAAAAGCAGAAATAAGATCTAAGTGGCCAAAATTTTCCATCCAACTCTGTGGAACCCCATGCACATTCATTTTACCACCTGATCTTTTCCAGAGACTAATCTGACTAGATAAAAGGAAAACTAGGAAGACTCTTACAAGTATCTGCCAATTTATTTGGGAAATTAGGAAATATCCCCCACATTTATATTTCTCACTGGAAATACACAGAATTTTGATGCCCTATTAGAGTCTACTGTACAGAAGGAGTAAAATTCAAAGCGTATTACAGAAAGGATTGAATAGTACCAGTATTTTATATTAACAAAAATGTTCACATGTTTTGTTGCATTTTCAAGTAAGTTACAAAAGCTTACTGCAGAACCTACTCCTGACTCTTCTGATTTTCACTGTGGATTTTCCACTGCAGTGCACACAATGTTACAAGCAGGCCGGTACTGAACATATCACTTGTCACACACTATGTCATACTTCTCTGGGTGTGATCTATGCCCTCTGTAATCTAGGAATAATCAATTTCTGCTCGAGGCCCTGCCCTACAGATGCTTGAGTACAGTTTTTTGATGTTGTTTGCTCAGTCTCACATTCCTAATCTGGGCAAGATCTTGTCAACAGTTTTGGATTTTTTAGATGTCTGGAAGCAAACTGGATCTAGAATGAAAAGAGCCTCCAAATTCCAATTCTGGCTTTGATTGTTGCTTTGTAGAATTCTACACTAGGCTGGTCCAGTCAGTACTAAACTGCTCAGTGTGTCAAGAACATTTAATACACATTTGCCTAAAATTGCCTCATCTCTCCACAAAAGCCACTTCACAGCACCCCATTTCAAACACTGGCTCTATAGCAGCCTACTACACACAGAAAAATAAAATAAAGCTTGTCAAGAGGAGATATAAATTAATTTGAAACAGCACAGAGCAGGAGGAGAGAAGACAAAACTCCGGTTGTGACACTGAACAAACTTGGGGAAAAAACACACCTTTAATACAAAACCCAACAAATGTAATGGTAAGAAAAGCCCTTTGACACCAAGCCCAACAGGCATGAAGGGCGGGAGCGAGGAGGCAGAGCTGGGTACCTCTTTCTGGAGGCTGGTGATGTGGGAGGACAGGCTGTCGATGCGCATGCGGCACTCGTTCAGCTGCTCCCGGATGGTGTTGGCTGCGGAGCTGCTCATCTCCGAGGACAGCCGGGCGCTCTCCAGCTGCAGGGCACCAAAGTAAGCGCGTCAGTTCCACCATAACTTTCACCAGAAGAAGGAATGAATCACCAGAAACCCACAGGCCACGCTGAGCCACCCGAGTTCCTCTCTGCAGCTCCAACGCTGCAGAAACCTTTCTTTCTTTAGGGCTAAAACGTGGTTACCGTGTTGGATTGCCCTGCCTGGAATTCCAATTCTCTGAATAGTTACTTTAGGATTAAAACTTTCCCTAGTAGACATTACTGAAATTGAGCTACTGAGCTCCGTTTTCATGCTGGCTAAAGTTTATTTAATACACTTAAATGTTTATTTAACACGCTTTAGCTTCTTCTTAGTGAAATTCGTTTACATTCTCTAAACTGAAATTAGTTTACATTGTCTAAAAAGAGGCAAACTTGTTACCTTTCAGGCAATAAAAGCAAATTGGCACCAGTACCAGTGTTCTAAACCACTATTGTTTCATTCTATCACTTCAAACTTCAACAGTTTTACTTTTATAGAGTAACTAAATCGTTCCTGCTGAACACTACCACACACACTTGAGCTGCACCACAGATTTATTGAACTCAATGATGATGATGGTGCAAAGCAATCTAATTTATTTTTTTTTAACTAAGTTTCCAAAACCACAGAGAAGTATACCTGATGATAAAGACCAAGGAGGCAACGAAGGGTTGCATTTTTGGCTAGACTGTATTTTAAATAATCTTTTCCAAACCAGATTAAAGGCCTGGAGATAAGCAGGCTGAAAAGACCAAAACTGATGCTAATAAATTCAGTTTATATGAACTTTTCTGATGTAAAATCTCACCCTGCTTTTAAAAAATACTAACTGCAACAAGCACAGCCACAGATACCAGGTTCAGTTGAGACATCAGGGTGCCTCCTGACATAGATGCTGAGTAACAGCAGAGGAAGGAAATGATGAAGTCTAACTGATTTCAGATTTCTGCCTAGATGAGTGAAAAACAGAAGTCACTGGGCATTGTAAAACTTCCCCATGTTTTGTACAGGCTCAGAAAACTCTATTTTCTGTCTTCTCAGCAGCCCCATTATGAATTTTTATACATAACACGGGACACCTTATTTATCATTGCTCAGTATCATGCTTAACAATTCAAAAACTTTTCCCTGAATTCACACAGTAATCCCAGCATTAATCACTTTTCCCCCCACACCACCTTCACACAGTGCTTCCTTCCCTTCTGTTGCTGTACCTGATGAGCATTAAACCTGCTCCCACAAAGTGAGATGTGAAAGTGCAAACCCACACCCAAACGCATGCTAATTCCAAGCCCCTCCAAGCCGCCAGAAATTGCGCTATTAATCCAAACAAAACCGAAGCAACATCAAACAGCTGTGTGAAAACACTGCTCTCACCTTGGAATGGTAAGTCTCCTCCAGCTCTTCCTTGTAGAGCTTCACTTGCACGTCGTGCTGCTCCCGGATCTCGTGGAGGGCCTGCGCCAGCTTGTGCTCGTACTCGACCTGGCGCCCAGAATCCACCTCCACCAGGCGCGTCTCATGCTTCCTCCTCGTCTCATTGATCTCCTGTGGGAGCCACAGAAACACGCTAACACCCGGGAAATACGGGACTAAAGTTTCCTGCTGAGCGGGGAGCAACGCAGGTTCTAGTGACGGATTATTCGGGCATGAAGCTTTTGGTAGAAATGGTCTCCCCAGCCTTATTTTGCAAAAGCCAGTCGTTAAAATAAGAGCTAGGATACCATCAGTATTTTTTTTTTCTGAGAGTTCCCTGAACTTGCAACAAATACACCTCAGAATCATCAGATGTTGGAAATAGATCCCTCCTTTCTTGAGGTACCTTGTGTGCTTCAACAAAATCAAACTGCTGTGAAATAACAGTCAACTCACTTTCCCCATTTACTTGTGTGCTTGCCTGTGCTTTCTCTGGAAAGAAAGGGATTCCAACAATATGAAACAAAGCTGAAAATACTTCTAGCAAGAAAAAGCACACATGGAACAAAAGACATTTGTTACTGCCTTAAGGTTCCTCCTGGAAAGACTCAAATGCCGCAGGTGAAAGGGAGGGTGGCAAGAGAAAGTTCTAAGAGACAACTATTCCTCGTTGCTTCCATTACTCAAGAGCATCCTATTAGAAAGGTTTGAAATTAAAAACATTGCAGGCCCAGAGCACCTGTTTGAGTCTCCCTCCATTTCATTTCTTATAATGGGATTATGTGGGAAATTAATCTACTTTCTCATGAACAGAAAAAGACATCTGCATTGCATACCATGATCAGAATTTAAGATGAAACAACATGATACATGAGGTTATTTTACCACAAGAATTCAGAATTAAAATCATTTTTCCTAGAAAAAGGAAGTTAGAAACCTTCATGCCAGAACAGAGGTAAACCCTACTCTGAGTAGGAGTTCAGACAAATTGCAGAGGTACCTCCCAACCTAAGTTATTTTCCTATTCTAGGATTTCCCACACCAGTTGCTGCCTTCTCTTTAAAAATGTTAATTCTTGAGGCTAAATTTACCTCTTCATACATATTTTTACGGAATTCCAGGTCCTCAATGAGGCTCTGACAACGGTTCTCGAGGTCCACTTTCTTCAAGGTTTCGTTTATAAGCTGGTTCTTGGCAGCAGCTAAAGAAGCTTCAAGCTTTAAGAAATAAAAAAAAAAAAAAAAAAAATCAACACAAATTATGCAGTAGAACTCACACAGTGGCCAAAGCCTCACAGAACTACAGCTACTACATATTAAGGTTTAACTTCACAATCAAATCCCAGTATTTATCCCAGTAATATTACATATCACACATAGACACTTTTGCAGTTGCTTATACAAGTGAGTTCTATATATTTCACATTAGTAACTGGCACTAAAATTGCTCCCTAATAATTTTCCTTACAAATCAATTTTTAATACATGGAAAACACCAGTTTCCTTCTCTCAACTTGTCTTCTTGAGGTGGCGATGCTCAAGATTACAAATCTAAAGGCTAACAAAACTAGGAGGTTTTCCTCCTCATTGTTCCAGCAGAACATGCAGAACCAGAGGCAGAAACAAATGGGGGGCAGAGAGAAATTGTTATTTGTCACTTATTATCTGTTCTTGTCAAGCCAATCTGCTCCCCAAAACAATTCTGAAAAGTGTCAAGTGTACTTTGAGTCTTGATCTGCTTTCTTCCCCCTAAGTAACATCCCTCATAATTTCAGCATCTTCGATTTTAAGAGCTGCCTCAGCTCTGGACAGGTTTTCATCCTTTATTTTGGTTACAAAGTTATATTTCATCAGATTGGCAGCTCATAATACAGACAACCACCTCACTCGCCAAGAGAACCTGATGCTTAAGATATTCATTTCTTCTCACCTCTTTAATTTGATCTTTCAAATCTTCAATTTCTCCCTCCAGACTTTTCTTATCACCAAGGGCTGTGGCCAGTGCAGCTTCTTTAGAATTCAGGGCTGCCTCATACTCACGAAGTTTGACCTGGGCTCCACTGAGGTCAGATTCCTTTTTTGCATAGCTGGAACAAACCAGAGAAAGTGATTGCAAGAAAACGTAGAAATGTCCCCAAAATAGACTGCTAGCTAAAAAAGCAATTGGAACCTTGAACTTGAGAAACATCTGTCAAAAACATTTTGTTTTAGCTAAATTTACTGGGCTTTGGCAGCAATCTTCAAAAATGGCAAATGGCAAAGCTCCACAGACCCAAATCCTGTCTGTACAATATCTGACATCATAGAAATTACACTGGTGCAGAGGTGATTTCTTTATGAAGACAAGCACAGAAGATTTTCAAATTACCTTCAAATTAGCTTTTGTGTCTAGACAAGCAGTCAAGCATGTTCTAGGTGTTTATCTCCCAAACCAGCATATTCAAACAGAGAAATCAAACAGGGGGGAAAAGTAATGTCACAAAAACACAAGTTTATTATCCACAAATAACACTGTAACAGGCTACTATCAAAAACAGGAGAAAGGAAACCCATATTCATGAATCAAAGTGTCTCTTGTCCTTAGATGGCACAAGCAGCCATTAAATGTGTAACAAGTTCTTCAGCCTTGGAGTTCATTATTTTTCTGCCTGGGATATCCACCTTTGTCTATCAAGGGCAGTAGCATGCACAAGTCCTACATGGTTTTAATTGAACTGTGAACTTTTTAAAGGGATGGACAGATTCAGGCTCAGTAATAATGAGAGCTGACCTTCTTCAGCTTTTAAGCTTTTCTTTCCAGATGTCAAAAAAACCCCAAAACAACACAAAAGAACCAACCCAGAATAAACAGCATAATATGCAGAAAATTGGATAAATTGAAATCAAAATAAAATTAGACAGATTCAGAATACATCCACTACTCTTTTTAGTCATTGTAAGGTTTATAAGACACAACAGCAATGCATCTCGACAAAATGTGACCTAAGGCAAAATCAACGCAATTTTAAAAGCAGACACCCTCAGCTTTAAAAAATCCTTTTTTCCCCCCAAGATTACCTGCACTTACCTCGCTCACAGGCGAGGTGCATGCACACGGAGGGATGCAGGGATGGAATGCCTGCCTGGAGGTTTCAGCACACAGCCACACCACATGGCAGCCCTTACGCAACAGACTTAGCGCTCCTTAATCCCGATCCCTGGGATTAGCACCTGCTGCTCTCCCCCCTGGCATCCAAGGGCCAGGCTGGGAGCCCCTGAGACACACAAAAACACTCTTCTGCACTCAGCTGCTTCCTCCTGCCCAGCACTCCCCACTGCCTTAGTGGGATCTCACTCCTCAGACCCACAGCTGGACCCAGGGCTTGGACAAAAATACAGGATTTAGGGTTTGGGCATTCCTGCTGCCAGCTCTCTGCATTATTCCCTGTCCTTCTTCTTGCACCCTGCCCTGCTGGAACTTCAACATGCAAGGAAAGTGTGCGGCAGAAGAGAGAAAAGAAGGAAGGGAAGGTGTGTTGCGCATCTGTACAAAAACATCTGTAGAAAAACCCAATCCCTCCATCCCCTAGTAGGAAGTATGAGGGTCCACAGTAGACATTTCTTGCTTGATCACACTTCTGGAAAAAAAAAGCTTTAATCAAAACGTGAAGAAACTGCTTCTCCTATGATGAAACCAAGGCTACCATGTCAGATCCTGAAATGAGAAAGTTGCAGAACTATAAACAGTGAGCTGCTCCCCAAATTATCCTGGACTCTAAAACAGACAGATTCCCCAAAATGTGCCACTATCCAAGGTGGTGGATACCTTAAACTGCTTAGATCCTAAATTGCTTTAATACAAATACCTTTTTAATGCATTTACAGACTGAGAGGTAGCTGAGAAGAGGATTCTTGCCATTCATCGGCAGAGAAAAAAGGGTATTATAATAAAATAGACTAGCAACAACAACAACATGATTAAAACCCAGGGTAGTACCTGTACCACAAAAAGTATTACCAGTTAGATCAGCCCTTTCTGGCTTGTTTGCAACAAGACTGTCTGTGCAGCCACACTATAATTTAATGCAACAAAAGCCACAGCAGGGGGGTGGTGGGTGGGTGGAGAATTAAAATTAAGCACTATTAGTTGTTAGTGACATGAGCTGTCTTAACTGTGAGACAGCTCATATGAACACATTCTCAGAGAGAAAACAGAAACTGGAGCTCAACACTTCAAACGCTGGAAGCCAGATGAAATCTCAGCAACTCAACAGTGTCATCCCAGCCCTGAAGGGAATTCAGGAAAGGAGGAGAAGATCAGAAAAGCCTCTGTGATTTATAAAAACAAACACCAATGTATACAGCACATACTTCACCCTTACATCCATTAATTTTGACCAGGAAAATCTTCAGCCTCTTGACAATAGATGCCTTCTATCTCCCCAGAGAGCCAAAGCTACATCTGAATACAGCAAATGAAAAAACCTCAAACACCTTCCTGTTGCAGTGTTCAGAGATTACCTAGAACTGCGCTCCTTTTCAAGTAGTTTGACTCATGAAAGGAAAATAAAAGCAAACAAGTAATTGCTGACTCGCATCTTTTTCAAAGAAGCAGTTTGGTTTTCTCTCTTTTGACTTCAAAGTGCGTGGATCTCCTTATCCACGGAATTGTTTACAGCAACCTACAATTTCCCATCATCTCCTTAAACTTCTTGCTAAGTTAATAGAAAAGCCACACAAAAAAGCCTCAACTAAACAAAAGCCCCAAGGAAATAATTTTCTGGCTGAGCTGACCATCTGGAGCCAGACAAGCCACACGGCTAGTGCGAGGCAAGCAGTCAGCAGCCAGACCTTGGGAGGTGTAATTCAAAATTTCGTTTGGAACTGACCAAGTGCAGGATGCCACCAGCCTACAGCAGATTCTTCTCACCTCCCACACCCCACCCACTCTTCTCTGCAGCTACTTAAGAGCCTGATCACCAAGCTAAGAATTACCAACATTAACCAAACCCTCCTAGGAAAGCATGGGCTTTCAGCCAAGTCGTGACATAGATACACACGTGTTGCCATTCCTGATAATACAACCTATATTTAGACCCCTATAAAATTACATTTACTGCACAGTGGGTTGGTTTTCTACTCCACTTGTAGAGAAATATGAAAATAATAATTAAAAAAACCCAACTACAGTCATGAATTTTCTATGTTTTATTTAGCTAGCAGTCAGTTTCCCACATATTCCCCCCATGGCAGACAAAATGCTAGGGCTGTATTTTACAAGGAAGTAACTTAAATAACATAAGAGGCACCTAAGAGCATTCAAATATTTGATTAGAGACCGACATAAAAGTAACTGGACAAGTATGGCTTTCCTGTAAATAAATATATGTAATGTTGTTTCAACCTCGTCTCATGTTATCCATTTTATTTAAATGTTTGCAACCAACAACAACACATCATCTCTAGTCACACCCTGCTTGAAGTCACAAATCCAACCTGAAGCTCATGGTCATCTGTGTGAACCCCATAACCCCATTTTAAGCAGAAACTACACACACAAACACATTTCAAGCCACTGCCCACTACCCTGTCTTCATTACATTTCCACATATTTGAGCCCAAATATTTATGTCCCACACTGCACAGAAGACATGCTGACTTCAGAATATAAATTCTTACATTTCAGTGGCTCGAATTATTTTGCAACAAGTCAACTACCCCACTCCTTCCCCCTCTGGGTCCTCTATGGTACACATCCAAACGGCGACAAATCTCAGATTAAACCTCTGAAGTTCCAATCTTTGCCTCACTTTTCAAGATCACCTACAATAACAAAAATACACCTGAAAACAACTCAAGCCAGCTTCCTTTCCAGCTCCTCGCAGCACATATGCACCCTGGCAAAGCCTGGAGCAGGTGTCACATCTTTGCCTGCACCAACACCACATGGTTCTGTGTAGCTGCTTGGGGTACCAGCTGCACCCTTGATCAGTAATTCAAGCCACAGGCCGATGGGAAGCTGTTCCTGATATTCATTTTACTGTCTAATCTCAGCGCAGAAATGTACTTCAGAGTGAAGATGGGAAGGAAGGCCAGCTGGAGATACAAAGCCAGCCAGCCAGATAAACTATCTCTTTGATACTTAAAATTAAAGTTTAGTTTTTTGCCACATTTACTATTAATGCACTCAACAAAACACCTGAAGATAATAAAGGAAGATTAAGTCCTTTGCCAACACCTTCAATAAAACACACAATTTCCTTCAAAGTTACTCTAATCACATTGTCTCTCCTCTTCCAGGAGGCAGATGTCCCTCAACACTGGCAAACTGCCACAATGAAACCCCAGCCTGCCAAAGACAAATGCAAACAATGGGTTTCCTAAATTAACTAGAGTTAACACCAGCTCACACCTCCTAAAGAACACAATTTCCTCACACAACCAACCGGAACCGGGCAAGTCCAGCCAGGGATTTTTGACTATTAAGTCTCCATCAGAAACATTCTTCGAAATAAATTTTCTTTATCTTAGAAACCACTTCCACCAGTGGGAAACTATGCTGAAACCTGACCTGCCCGAGGCCAAAAGACGCCGAGGGGGGCTGTTTTCTGATGCGCAGGGGCCCTGGCCTTCGCCCCTCACCAGATAGCCGGATTCCAGGGCCGTTCACACCCCCGCGCACTGACCCATCAGCAGAGGCACACAAACACAGCAGCCAGACAGCCCTGGCTTTCTGAATGGCCCCTGTTCAGCAGGACTTGGTGACACAGCTGTGCCAAAATTCACAATGCACGCCCTTGTTAAGTTAATTGCTTCCAGTGACACATGAGACCTTTCTGGCCCAGCAGTTCTCCCTGGTGTGCACTTGTGGCAAACGATGAACCCATGACACGTTTCCCCTCCAAAGCAGAAGCTTTGTCCAGTCTCGTAGGATGCAATGGACCTGCTGCTTAAATGATGGCATTATGACATGCCCAAGGACGACATCCCTCACTGATTTGTATGCCTTGTCCATTTAATCCTTTTCCCAAGAAATATGGAACTTGCAGCAATCTGAACTCCCAGCCAAGGCAACGCTGCTCTGTTGTAGGAAGTGCACTCTTACCTAAAAATAACAGGAGTTGTTACCTCAAAATAATTTGTTCCTAATTGTATCATCACGTATTTTGAGCGTTTGTGGTCCTGCTACCTACAGGCAACCTTTCTTGGCCTTTATTGCTCAGGAGCAAGCCCAGCAGCTGGAAATCAATATGCACAGGCATTTTATTCTGTGGAGCTACTGCTGGTATCTGCCACAGCCCTTGACTGGCAAAAGCGTAGCAGTCACAATTAATTACACAATTTTATTACAAAAAAATTATTACAAGTTTATTTAAAGTACAGAAGTAGAGGCATGTCTCTACAACAGCCAACACTGATAGCAAAGCATACAGTTAAGTCTTGTCTAATCACTAATGAGAAAATAAACTGGAAATACTGTGAAATTTGTGCTGTCTCTTAATTTCTCGAACTATGGAAGAGAGATTGTCCGGTTTTCGGCTGTCTGGATGGCCTGGAAAGGCCCGGGGTGACCTTGGGGCAGCCCGCGTTCCAAAGGATGAGAACGCTTCAGTTCTTTTTTCTGTCTCTGTGTTTATTAATTGTTTATCTAAAAGATTTTCTCTCGGCCCGACAGAGGTCTGCTCAGCAGCCAGCCATGAGCACACTCCCCTGCCCTCCGGGGCGGTCACCTATCTTTATACTCAAAGTTGTGTATACAATCTTTATCATTTTTCCCCAATACCTTTCACCCTTACTGCCCGGTGCACTTTCAGTAATAACCAATCCCAAAGTGCCACCATCACCACAGAAGATGGAGGAGAAGAAGAAGAAGAAGAAGGAGGTCAGGACACGCCCCAATTCCTCCATCTTACTTCTCTAAACCCCCCTGTACAGAAATCCTAAACCCTGTGTTTCACTCTCTAACTAACTAATCCCTTCACCATTCACCCTGGTGAAATCCTCCTATCCTCATACAGGTGTCGTCTCCTGTGTAGGATCAAAGTCCAGCCACCAGACACTTCTGGCAACATTCCAGGACTCCCGAGCCCCCCAAGGGTGGTCTCGGTGACTCGGCACCTCAGTCCTGAGGTGCTGAGATCCCACAAGAGATCTCCCTCTCCTCCACCTCCCAAGAATTCTATACACCCAAATGCAAATTGTATGGGGTTTTTTTTCCCCCCTAAGCCTTGAGATGCAGAGATTTATTTTCCTTTATCTCCATTCTGCCCATCACAAGCTTCCTACTTACACAACTATGAGTATCACTTTCCCATCCCCTCTCCAGAACAAAAATAGGGAAGCTCATTTTTTAAATCTCACTTTTCCCCCACTTAGTTCTTTAGAGATTTGAAGTATTGAGGGAAACCTTCATATTTTTGCTAGAGCAGAACCTATGGCTGCATGGCAAGCACTCTAGGAGGGCATGCAGCAAGACTGCTATATATATAGGAGTGTAAACAAACAGTAAAAAAATGCAATTTTACTGAGGGATTTGAAGTATGAGCAGAGCAAGCTTTTTGGTGCATCACACCGTATAGACGGCACTGAAGTCAGCAAGTCCAACAAATAGGTGACTGGAGCTTTAATTTTCGTGAAGAAAGAATAGGAAAAGTCCTACAGCACTTTGAGAGTAACTAGAAGCTTGAGTTTGAGGCACTAAGAGTGACTGAGAGATGACTGGAATAAAATGGATCAAACAATTAAGAGGGATGCAGTGCTAACCAGAGGAAACAGAGTTGCACAAGAATACACCTGCAAAAATATTCAAGTAACACAAGAAGGCCAGCTAGACCATGAATGGTATTGCCCAGCTTCAGATAATCAAGTGGCAAATCATCTTTGCTCCCTTCACAGACCCAGAACACCTGGAGAACCATTTCTCCACCACCAGCTCTGTAAGGAAACAAAGCCATCACTAATTTGAATGCTATGGCTACCAGAATACCTAAACCTCACAAACCAAACATGTCAGGAAACTTGGTTTTTTTCCCTTTTTCTTCCCCCCAACTGGCTCTGTTAGATCCAAACTACAACATACTCACATTTTAACTAAAGCCAGTGCATACAGCACACTGCAGTTCAGCTTCCAGAGAGGGCAAGGAAAATCCTGCTGAGAGCACACATCCTCATGTTACCTTGCAAACCTTCACAGTGCTCCTATGCACACTTGTGCAAAGTGCTTTTAAGAGCATTTCTGTCTACAATGTGATTTAACAGCTTTAAGAAGCCATGAAGGAGCCTGCTCCAGTTCAAGTGAAAAACCCCTCTGCTCCTTTTTAAGGCTTTGCAAATAGAATTACAGATAAGCTTAGATATCCCCAAGATATCCATCTTAGCACTCAAAGACGACTAAGAAACTGCACGCTCATCCTGAGGTCTGGCAGCACCAAGCCACACCAAAGAGCCACAAACAAGTGGAGCCCAGGAGCCCCAAACAGCATCGAGTGTTTGTTTCACTAAACCCTCCAGGAGTTCTTGGCAATCAACACCCGCCCCCAACAAAACAGGTTTTTTGCCAAGTATCACAGGCAAATGCAAGACAGAATATGCAGATGCCCGTGTCTGCGTTATTAAAGCCTTGGTTCCAGCCACAAAAAGGGAATCCACCACAGACTGCGTTTAGATCCCAGTCCCATGCACGGCGTCTATGTGAGAAGCTGACACAAGAGTGTGTCTTCCTCAATAAAATCACTAAGAGATGAAAATTCCTGGCTTGACCTCGGAGTCAAGCAATGTTGGTGCCTGTCAGCAGCTACACCTGGCTTTCCCCTATCACTGTCAATGACTGCTTTGATTTAAGACTTTCAGGAGGCACCAAGAGAGAACCTCCAGAATAACCAGTCTCACTAATTAGAAGCTCACGGTTTTGGTTTTTATAAATAACAGAGTCCAAGAGATATCAGAGGTGTCTATAGACGCGGGAGAACATCAATGTGCTGGTTACACGTGAAGTATCTTCCTCATCATGAAACATCAGGGCCGAGAGGGCATTTAAGACACAGCAGCAGAGGAAGAATAACAGCTTTGGAGGTTTTTACCCCCATCCCAATATTGCCACACCTTGTGATTCCAAGGCTAAAGCGGGAACGCCTAAAACTGCAGCAGCCACAAAAATCAAATTGAAGGTAAACACAAACAAGGAACCAAATAAACAAATTAATCGAGCCGAGTGTTTAAGAAGCAAAATCTAAGTGTCTCAAAATCAGTTCGCGGCAAAAACAGGGATCTTGGCAATGTGCCCTAAAGCCGTCAATCTGGGGGATGTGCGGACACAAATTCTACCTTTGGTAACATCTGAACAACCAGGAGGGCACACAGAAATCAGCCCCCTTGGGTTTCAAGCATGATCTATGTATTACCTAGTCAGTATTTTCACATTATGAAGTTAATCTGTTTGAGAAAGGCTCAGTTTTTCATCCCGAAGCAACCTGAACCTTCAGGACAGCCCCTCAGTCCGTGCAGGGGGAGGTGAACAGTCATGGAATCACAGAGCTAAGGGACCGGGATGGACTCTAAAGCCTGTCCAGTCCCCAGTTCCCAGACTAAAGCAGACCGTCCTGAACTCCATCAAGCCTGGCCTGGAACAATTCCAGGGATGGGACCATCCACAGTCTCCCCGGGCCACCTGTGCCAGGACATCACCTCTCTCACAGCCAAGAATTTCGGCCCGATATCCCATCTAAACCTGCCCTTCTTCAGTTTAAAGCCGCTCCCATCTTATCCTATCACCCCGCGCCCTTGTCAGAAGTCTCTCCGCAGCCTCCCTTAGTTACAGGAAGGTGCTTTAAGGTCTCCTTTACTCCGGGCAGCAATCAGAGCACTTCACCTCATTTCTTACGCTCCAGCCTCCCTGTACAACCTGTTCCAGCTCACAGAAAGCAACTCCTGCCTGATACCCAACCTGTCTAACCAAACTCCCCCCTTTTTCCGTGCGCACCGGAGCCCCCCGCGGATGCTACGGGGGCCGGGGCACTCGCACCCGGCAGGGGCGGCGCTCGGGGCCGGCTCTTCCCGCCGGGGCGGAGCGGCGGCAGCGCTGCCCGTTGCTCCTCATTCATTCCCCCATTCATTGCCGGCCGCGGAGCCCCGGCCGAGCGCCGGCGGGACGGGCGGGGTGCGCTCCGCCGGTGCCTCCCGCGCCGCTCCGCCCGCATCCCCATCTCCATCCCGCCGTGCCACCGATGCTTCCCGGCCTTTTTGTCGCCCACCTGGCCAGCAGCTGCTCGTGCTCGGCGCGCAGCTTGCCCAGCTCGATCTGCAGCTTGGCGCGCTCCCGCGCCGTGTCGTCCAGCGCCCGCCGCGCGTCCGCCAGCTCCGCCTCGTAGATCGCCTTGAGCCCGGTGACCTCGCGGCCCCGCACCTCCTCCCGCTGGGTCACCTGCAGCTGCAGCGCGCTCTTCTCCGTCTCCAGGCTCCGCACCTTGTCGATGTACACGGCCAGCCGGTCGTTCAGCTGCCGCAGCTCCTCCTTCTCCTGCAGGCGGGAGATGCGCGTCGGGCTCTGCGACATCGCGGCGACGGCTGGGCCGCGGGTCCGCCGCGGCGCGGGCTCGGCCATGGAGCGCGGGCTTGGGGGGAGGACACCGGCAGGGCGGGAAACAGGAGGGGAGCGACGGACAGGCGGACGCGCGGACGGACAGACCGACCGCTGTCGCCTCCTCCTCCGCCGGCTCCGCACCGATCCAATATGGCCGCGCGCCCGCCCCGCCGGACCGCGCTCGCGGCGCTCCCGCCCACGTGACCGCAAGCCAGCCAATCGCGAGCTGCCTTCTGCCGCGGGCTAAATTCAAAACCCGCCAACGGCCGGCGGGCGCGCCACTGAGGCCACGCCCCGCCGGGCCACGCCCACGCCCCGCGAGCGTTCCCGCCCCTCATTCCGCCCCCCGTTCCCGCCCATAGCTCTGGACAAAGGGACTCGGAGCACGCGTCCCCTCCCGCCGCCCCGCCCGGGGATCCCCGCACGGGCCGCTCGCAGCGCCCCGTGGCTGGCCGAGCACTCCCGGGGAGAGGCAGTGGTTCGGCGGCGTGGCTGTAAATTACAGAATGGCGGGATAAATCAGGCGGGGGTGATGGAACGCAGCGCACGGCCGGACACCACCCTGTCAACAAGAGCATGGCACTGGCCGCCGTGCAGGCTTTCCGTTAGCACTTCTGGGGACAGTAACTTAGTGCGTCCCTGGGCAGCCTATTCCAACGTCTGGCCACCCGTTCGAGGAAGAAATTCCTCCTGATGTCCAACCTAACTCCCCCCAGCACAGCTTCAGGCCATTTCTTCTTGCCCTCGTTCCCTGGAGCACAGCCCGACCCCCCGGCTGTGCCCTCCTGGCAGGAGCTGTGCAGAGCCACAAGGGCCCCCCGAGCCTCCTTTGCTCCAGGCTGAGCCCCTTCCCGGCTCCCTCAGCCTCTCCTGGGGCTCCATTCCCTTCCCAGCTTCGTTCCCTGCCCCGGCCACGCCGCAGCCCCTCCATTGCCCGTGTGAGGGCCCGGAGGTGCCGCAGCCCTCGAGGTGCGGCCTCAGCAGGGCCGGCCCAGGGACGGGCCCTGCCCCGCTCCTGCTGCCGCCCCCCGGCCGGCACAGCCCCGGGGCCATCGGCTTCTGGGCCCCGGGCACCCCTGGGCTGTGGCCGGCTGCAGCTATAAACCCCTCATAAATAAGGAATTTTGCTGTGCTACGTTTCCTACCCAGAATTTACGTCTCTCTCACCCACAGGCTGCTCACTGTGCTTTAGAAAACAACGTTGGCTCCTGCTGCTACCTGAGCACGCAGTGTGAGGCTGCTTTGGAGGAATGTGGTGTCCAGGGATATCCCAGGTGCAGGATGAGAGGGCAGAAGGGGCTGTCCAGGGAGGTGGTGGAGCCACTGTCCTTGGAGGTGGTTAAGGAAAGGCTGGAAGTGGCACTCAGTGCCATGGTCTGGGTGACAATGTGGTGGTGTTCAGTCACAGGCCGGACTTGATGACCTCAGAGCTCATTTCCCACCTAACTGGGACATGATTCCACTATTCTGCGAGTTTCAGGACTCGGAGTGCAATTCCTCAGGTGGAGTCAGCCCACCTTTGGAGTCTACATTTTCATATTCCTTGGCTGATGTCATTGAGGCTCCTGAAGTTTTGCTGCCAGTGAGAGGCACTCACTTTCAGGCTGAACATTAATTCTTCAGGAAGAACGGGAATCCTTTTGCAAATTTTCCCTGCTAGGTGACAGCCCTTCAAACTGCCAAAGGAATATATTCCAATCACAGGGGTGTACATAACTAAAGTAATTAAGTCATAGCTGGGAAGCTCCTGCTTTTCCCACATGGTGCCTTTGCAGACACAAACCATTATCTCTGGTTTTTCCTTCCCTGCCGTTTACTAGAATTTGCTCCTTTTTCACTGGAAAAATAAAAAAGCTGGGTTACAAGAGTTATAGCAGCTGGTAAAAAATTCTACAGCACCTGCTGGAACATAAAATTGTCAGCACAGTAGGATTATAACTCTGGGTAATTTTACACTGCAGCTGGCACTGCTGTGAAAGGATCTGTGTTCATAGGCAGTACAAGAGACAAAGTTTGGGAGGTTTTATTGTTGGACAAACTGAGCCCTCTGCAGGTGTTTAGTGCTGGCTTTGGTTCTGTCTGCTTCCAGAGTTTAGTTTGGTGCTTGGTTTTAAATCAAGGGGTTTTCAGTTTGTTATAAAAAGTTGTGGTATCATCCCTTCCCCACCCCACTATATTTGTCTGCCTGAAGCAAAGCACTTTTCTCTCCTGACAGAGGTATGGGAGTGATGTGTTCTATTTCACCTCCCAAATCAAAAGGATGTATTAAAAAATCCACACTATTTGTAAGGAGGCCTTCTTTTCCCCCTCAGAAGCCTCAAGATTCATCTTTTTGTTATTGAAACCACTGCATTTTAGCTTCCTGGTTTACCACATGAGATTAAACTAAATGATGCTTATTTAGCAGACCAGATTTGCTAATACAGTAAAAAAATATTAATGGAGACAAATATTGTAGTGGAAGCAGCTGGCCAGATCAGTCTTCTTGTTGTAATTACTCAGTGGAAAAACTAAATGTTGATCTTGCCTATTCCATGCTTATTTTTCACCAGTCTGTGTTTTCAGGTTGCTGCTTCCATCTAATAAAAAAAAAAAAAAAGACGTAGCATTTCCTATGCACATAAAATTGTAATAGTTGAATCCATTAATATCTCATTATTCAAAGAAAAAAAAAGAAAATAAACTTGTGTTGGTTTCACCAACAAGACTAGCTTCTGTAAAGAAATAAGTAATTGTTGCTGCTGTCAGATTTCCCTGAAATTTTCTTTATATCTGAGGTTTCTTTCTGGTGCTTGTGTGATTGAATTTTTCCTGCTGGATTAGTCTGAAAAGGGAAGTGAGTAAATGATGGGTCTTCAAACTGTACCTGGGCTAATGAAACTGAATTATCAGCACTGTTCCTCTTTACTCAGGGCAGCTCCAAACAAACAAACAAAAAAAAAAAGGAATGTGGTGTTTACCCGAGTGACTCAGCCCTGCCTCTAACACACCTCTAAAATACATCACAAGTACTTTCCACACGGGTTCAGAATGCCACTGCAGCTGCAATTTATTCATTTTAATTTACTAATTTTTTTGCAGTCAGCATAAACTGTGTATATGGGGCTTGTACACAACTTACAGACCCAACAGACTGCACCTCTTGGACTCATCTCCTCAAAATGTGGAAAGCATTTCAATAACTGAGACATTTTAAACAAAAGCCTTCCAACATGCACCGTTTAATAGCAAAGGTTTTCTCTGTGCACTGATTTAAGTTTTGGGAAATTTGTATAGATCCTGTAATTTCTAGTAAATGAGCCATTTTTGCTGTTGCCAACTTTGTATTGCTAAACAGATTTTATATGTATATATAATAATTTGTATTTATACCATATTTACTTTTAAAGTGGACACAGTGAATACATTCTGCATATGTGTCCATAGTCTGAGGGTTATCTCAGTGATTCAGATATTGTTCTCCTAAAGAAGAAAAACATAAAAATATTTAAATTTATATCACCTAACCTGAGTACTTATGAGAAAATGTTGTCTGTTTGTTTTCACCTGGGAATGTCTGCTAAAGAAGAATCAAAAAGAGAATTTGCTTCAGTCTGAGCTTTCAAGAAACCAAGCAAAACAACAAAAAATTAATAGAAATGGGTTTTTTTTGTAACAGCCATGGTAGGACGAGAGAGCACGGGGGTGTCTGCAGCTGTTTAGAAAGAGAACAAAATCTGGAGACTCCTCACATGAGCAGATGGGGTAATAGTAATACTCCTCCCTGGTTTTTGGCTTGAGCAATGTGAAAATGATAACTGTGACTGCTGCATGGTCCCTGTGCAAATTCCAGCTGCTGCTCTGTATAGCAATAACTTAAGTATGACTACACTGCACTTTGTAGGTCCCCTTGTGCAGAACTTGAAGCCTTTCCTAGAAAAAGTACTTTAAAAATATTAATTTAGCACTGTGTCTTACCAGGATTCAAAGAGAGCTACCAATATTGTTTGAGCTAAATGAGTATATGAAATGAAAACAAACAAATGACATAAAAAATCTTCATTTTTTTTTAAACTGTTGTTTCAAATAAAATGGAAAACTTGTTTTTAATTTCTGCTGAATCTTTCACAATGAAAACTTTCTTAGAAAGCTTTGTTCAGTGTTCTGCAGGATCTCTTTCTCCAGGAGAAACCAAAATAAGATGAATAAACACATTTGGGACACGGACACACAACGTTTGCCTGTGGCCGTCTGGAAGATCAAGGAGTGCTGAGGCAGGGGAAGCAGAGCAGGAGAAACAGAAGCAAGAGAGAACCATCACAAGAACTGCCCTGCTCTGGTTTCCATCATCGAAATCATCACCTGAACCAGCACCCTCCAGCCTGCCTTGCCTAGGCAGACGCTGAGCCAGGCAGGGAGATGTGTTTGAAAAGACAAAACACGCGGGGTGGGCGTTTGGAGAATGGCCCAGGGAGCTTTCCACCCGCACTGCAGAGCTGCCCAGAGGGGAGAAGCTGTGGTACGGCTGTTGGTTGTGGTTGGAATCACTCCCCACAGTGATTGCAAAACACTGAGAAAGAGAGAGAGGGCAGGAGGAGCTGTGCGAGGTAAAGGAGAAGCAGAAACTCGCAATTACACAGTGCCACATGAAGGTCAGGTTAGGCTCACTTTAAAAAAGACCATGCAAAACTGGAAAAGTTGCATTTCTCCAGAACAGGCTAGTGTAAATACAGAATCTCCTTGCTGAAGAGCCCAGTTGTTAGCACAGAGGGCTTATGCTTATAGAGAAGTATTAGTTTTTGGTAAAAAAAAAAGGTTTTTGCCATGAAGTTACAGAGGTATTAACCCTACTAGTACATGAGAGTGCATTGCTGTGGCTGCTCCTGTGACAGGACAACTTTAACTCACATTGTAAGTGCATAGTTAGGGAATACATCAATTATTGCCATCTTCTGAGACTTTGTAATTAGTTTTATGAAACTGTCAGCTTTGTTTTCAAAGGCTAGTTATGTGAACTTGTCATATTAATCACAACTCAAAGTCTTAGTTAACAGATCCTTGACCCCTTAGAGGCAGGGGAGAAAAGCAAACCTGTTGTGTGAGTCAGTGCAAAATTAAACATCTTAAAGAAAATTAAACACTTGCCCAAAGTCGAGTCTGGCATGTGACAGGTAACAGC